ACTTCAGTCAGTTTCCCAGTGCTTGAGTCAAAGTGCAGTATTTTCTGTCCATTGAGGCCAATGTCCCAGGATGCATTGAAATGTCCATCTCCATCATGCCAACAATGCATCTTGGCCTGCAGAGTGAGGGGCTCTGTGCCCATAGGAAAGAGATCAGCCTCTGACCTTGACTAATCCTGTCTACCTATCCTCCTCCCTTTCCAGCCTCTGACCTTGTTTTTCCCTCCACATTTTAGACTTGCTGCTGAAACTCTTAGGTGGTAGTACTGGTCATTCATTTTTTTCTCCTCCATGTCCTTACCCTGCCACAGATCCTGTTCTAATAAGTTCTTTTATTTAGTTTGTAGCAGACGGTATTGAACCTAGGACCTCATGCATGCTAGGCAAGCACTCTACCATTGTGCTACATCCCCAGCCGTTTGAAACTTACCTCTGATTATATTATTCATGCGAATCACTTGCTGCTTGATCAGGTCAGCTCCATCTTTCAGAGTGTCAACCTGTTTGTCACAGATCTTTGTGGCATTCAGTCTGATCCCCAGAACACCAAACACATGACAGTTGTTGATACTGTTGTAGGAAAGGAAAGTCTCTTCGTTCAGTTGGCCTTGGACTTTGTGCTGCCATGGTCCAGACCCTGACTTGCCAACAGTGAAGATGTAGCAAAGAGAAGCAGCATCTGTGAAGGAAACATGCAGTGAGGTCAGGGATGCAGAGCAGGGGCTCAGGGACAGTCTCTACCTTTGGGTCAAGAAAGTTCTTCTGGAATCATGCGGTAAAAAAGGCAAGTAGAGGATGGAAGAAAAGTAGAAAAAAGAAAGAAACTAATTAAAGAAATGAAAAAATAAAGGACAGAAGAAAGAATGAAAATAAAGACTTGAACATCTCTGCTGGATAGCTCCATCAGTTCCATACATGCTAGAGTCTCCTAAGAAGTGAGTGTCTTTTGAGGCACTGTTTTGACTGTTAATGATGTAGGAATGTCCAGTCACTGTGGGCATCACCATTCAATGCACAAGTGGTCTCTGGCTGGATAAGAAATCTAAGCCCTAAATCCTGGACCTCCTCCTGTTGTTTCTAGCTGTCCCAGAAGTCATAGGCAGTATAGAACCCAATGCTGACTGGAATATATGCATCTTTTGGCATTACATTTGAAGACACACTGGAGGATGGGTACCAATACTTGCACATGGGATACACCCAAATCTAGGTCAGAAAAATGATGGAGGGCAAATCTGCTGTCCCATTCATCAGCTTGTTGCCTTCTGAGTCTGTCACACTAAATGCAGAATTGAGTATTTGATGCAGGACAGATAAAGTGAGGCTTGCCAGGTGGAAGATATTTAGTGCCTGCCCTTTTCAGAAAAAAGATAAAAGACAACCCACTCCTGCCTAAATCAACAATTTTGTCAGATGTCATCTCCCCAGGAGGTAGACACATGGGCCTGTTGGGGGGGGCAAGGGCAGAATCTTCCACATAAACCCACCCAGTGCCATTGCCAGGATCCATTATAGTCACCCCTGATTAGCTGAGGTGCTAATCCACAGAGTTTCACCTGGTGGAAAGGGACAGAAAGACACTTAATGGATGGGAGAGTGGGAAAGGCAGGGAAGGGAGCTGAGCAGCTGCTGGTGGAAGAGTCAGATAGGATCAAAGCTGAGCTTGGTGGTACAGATCTCTAATCCCAGCACTTGACAGATCTAGGGAGAGAAGGGATTGCTGCAAATTCTTTAGTGTGGACTATGGTGTGAAATCCATAAAACAAAACAACAGCAAGAACAGCAGGGGGGAAACAGTGAACAAGAGAGAAAAGGATCCTTGATCCTTGAAGCATCTATTGTGATCTCCTGGAAAAATACTGTGGGAAGGTGAGAAAGAAATTTCTAGTGCACAGCAGTTCAGGAATTGTGGAGGGCTTGAGAGGAATCCCCTGGGAAGAGTCTTTAGAACACACACTGCCAAGGGTCTTGGCTGGGCCTCTCACTGTGCCCCTCACCTAAGGTCCTCCTGACTAGGTTTAGGCTTTCTGTGGACCCCAGTGTGGCCGAGGGCTGAGGGCAATACCAGATTCTCCTATGACATCTTGCCCTCCTTATTTGTCCTCTGGAGTTTGTACTTTCAGAAACTATCCCTTGGCTGGAATGTGGGTGAGGTGAGGATAGTGTCAGTCCTGTGTCACAACACCAGAGGCGTGTCTGTGTGTGGCACTGGCTGGGGCGAGGGACTGTGCAGTGTGTCTCTCTGGCAGCAGCTTCCTGGAGGAGGACTGCTACCCTCTGCCACCCTGCCCTCCACCAATTCCTTGCATCCATCCAGTTAGACCGCGGTAACTCACCTAGTGGCAACATTGACCACAGACAAATCAGTAGAACCGAGAAGCACAGAGCCATGTGCTCGGTGGCTGCTTTCTTTGCCATACCCTGAGCAACAGGTTTAGTTACAGGAGCTGTGGAGAGAAGCGATGAGGTGTCAGTGCCGCTCTGCAGACGATTATGCTTAAAGTGCCACAATGCGTTCTGTAAATTCTCCTAGAGACTGCTATAGCCTCTCCCTTTGGGAGGCGGAGTCTATGATCTGATTGGAGATCTGCTGTTTGCTGGTCCCCACCCCCGCTCATGCCTATGTTAATATGCTGCCTGAACTCAAAGCCTTCCCCTGTAGTCACTTTTTTTTTTTTTTTTTTTCCCGGTGTACTTGCTGACAGAATGAGTCATGTGTAATCTAAGGCCAGTCAAGCCCACAGCAACTTAGAGTCACACGAGGAGGAGTTTCTCTCCTGTGTCTATGACACACACCTCCTTTGACACACACTGGCTTCAGCCACTACACCAGTCTCCTCTCTCTCAAACCTCCTTTCTTATCTCCCCCACCCCCAAAGCTGGCCTCTGTGCACTTCCCAACACCTCCCCACTTCCTCCATCTCGATCCCAGACTCATTTTCTCCACCTGGTGCCTTCCCCTCAACCCTGCCATCCCTCCTCCCTTTAAATTGTTGTCCTAATTCTTGGCCAGGGTCCCAGCATTCCCCAGCCACTTACAGCCCTAATCAGTCTCCCCTCCCCAAACTCCATCTCCTTCCTTTACCCTCCCCACCCCCACACAAAGAAGACAATCACTGTCTTGTCAGCAAGGCTGTGCTTTTCTCCTTAACTCCGTGACACTTTACCCTAAGACCTTTAGGAAAGTTCTGCAATCACACAATCATTCAATTATGAGCAGCTTCTGGGGCCTGTAGAGATGGCTCAGAGGTTAGGAGCACTGACTGTTCTTCCAGAGGATCCATGTTGGAATTCCATCCCCTCTTCTGCATTGTTCCCTGACCCCTAGGTGTGGGAGTGTTTTGAAGGTGTATCCCTCGGGACTGGGGGGCACCACTCTTCATATTGATGGGTTGTGGTTTTCTGTAGTGGTCTCCATCCTTTGCAAAGAGAAGTTTACTTGATGGGGGTGAAGAATACCTTTACCCCAGTGTTTAAGGACAAATTTTTATAAATTGTTGTTAGAGATTATGCTGATTTAGTAAATTAGTGGTTGTACATTCTCCTCCAATCACCATGACTTCAGCACTGATTAGTTGGCTAGGTTTCCAGTACCAGGCATGCTATCCCTCTTGCTGAGCTGGTCTTAAGTTCCATGAGAGAGCTGCTGGTGACCACCAAGTTATGTGTGCCACTACTGCACCTATAGGGTTACTGTGACTTGCTGCTCATTGATGTAGTCATAGGCATCAGAGCTGGGTGTCACTGTTGGCTGCCTCCCTCCTTTGGAAGCTTGTATGGCACCTTTTGGAACCATGAAAGCTAGTACCCCAGGGAGATGACTTTAGGTCAGTTCCAGCTCAGGGGCCTCTGGACCCCCTTTCTAAAGTGCATGGTGTCTTCAGCAATAGAGACTTACCTTCCACCTCTGGGGATAAAGAAGGGCATCAGCAGTAGGCTGCATGTTCTCGGAGCCTCTTGACAGCCTATTGGAGAGCCCTGTGCAACCATTCAAAAAGGGATTCTCTTGCTTGGTATTGGGGCTTAGAGGGAGTGCCATCAGCCCACATAAAAATAGATCATTAAAACTATATATGTACAGTCATACAGTGAATTACATTTGTTATATTTTTTAGGTAAATAGTTAACAGTATCAATCCTCCTGTCTTTTCCACCCATCGTATTTTATTTTACCTCCCGCTGTCTTCTCCTGTATTTACCTCCCTCCCCATTCTCTCAGGAGACCTCATTTTCCATATTTCCCTATCAGATCAACTGTATCAATCTTGTTCCCCTTTACCCTCCTCCCACGTTCTTCTGCACTGACCTCCCTCTCCCTCCCTAACATCAGATTATCTACCTATTAAGTGATCTCACTAAACTCACACTCAAGTCTGTAGTTGTGCCCACTGTTGTCCATGTTACACTTTTTGAATGCTCAGTCTGCAGCTCTCCTTTGACAGGGACTCTTACTAGATCCTGAGACTCACTAACAGTCTCAGTGTTTTATCATGGTGACAATCAAGGGCATCTGGAGTTCCCAGACAAACAAGCCTTTTCAGTCACCTCCTCTTACTAATATGGCAGGTTGAATCTATCTTACCGTGCTCTCACAGGACAAAATGCCACTAGAAACTGTGAATTGGAACCTATCCAGCTCTTGCAGGTCCAGTTGCAGTCAAGCTACGAGGCCTCCCACTGTGGATTCACCTGTGTAGAGTTAAGATGCTCCGTGTACAGAATCTCCTCTGCTCTATTCCTTTGAGCCTCTTGCAGATCTGTTTCCTCTTCCAGTGAAGCCTCCTCCAGTCACTGGGTTCTTCAGCTGGAACTCAGTTGTTTTGTGTCTTACTTAGGGTTTCTGTAGCAGTGATGAATCACCATGACCAACGAGATTGATGAGGAATGGGTCTATTTGGCTTATGTATCCCCAGTACAAGGATACCTAGGCTGAATCTCAAGCAGGGTAGGAAATTGGAAGCAGCAGCTGATGCAGAGGCCATGGAAAAGTCCAACTTGCTGGCTTGCTCTTCATGGTTCACTCATCCTGCTTTCTTATAGCACCTAGGACCATACGACCAGGGGTGGTATCACCCACAATGGCCTGGGCCTTCCCAAATTAACCACTTCTTAAGAAAGTGCATTCCAGACTTGCCCACAGTCTAATATTCTGATCCCATGGAGGCATTTTCTCAGTAGAGTTTCCCTCCTCTCTGATGATCTTAGTTTTGTATAAGTTAAGAAGAAACAAGCCTGTGAATCATGCTAGGAGACAAGCACATTTACCCACTCAGCCACCATGCTCACCAGTGCTTGTAAGTTCTGCAAATTTGGTGTCTAGTTCTTACCCTGAGACACTGCTCAGTAGTCAAGATTGGCATTTCTGAATTAATGATATGTTTCTACAGTCTCTCTCCTCCTGTTCTCTGGATGTCCTAAAGCACAACTCAGTTTTCAGGATTCATTAGAGACCTTTATTTTCTTCTGGCAGATGGTGTAGAGTATTCCTAGACTGTGGTTGTCACTCTTGTTATATAGTCTCTGTTTCCACTTCTCTGCAAAGACCAAAATGTGATGGTGAAACTGTATTTGGGGGCTTACTCAATGGCTCCTTACTCATCTCTTTGTGTTAATGAAGCAGTCCTCCCCAGAAAGGCAATTTTTTTTTCTAGACTGGTTCTTAGACACCCATAGTCTCCCTTTGTGGTGTTTTGAATAAGAATGGCTTTCATAAGCTCATATACTTGATTGCTTAGTCACCAGGGAATGGAACTGTTTGATAGAATTAGAAGGATTAGGAGGTGTGGTCTTGTTGGAGGAAATGTGTCACTGGGTATAGGCTTTGAGGGTTCAAAAGCCCATGCCTGACCCAGTCTTACTCTCTGCTTCTGGATCAGGATGTATTCTCAGCTACATCTCCAGCACCATGAGTGTGTGCCACCATGCTGCCTGCCAGACAATAATGGACTAAGCCTCTCAAACTAACAAGCCCCATTTAATTCTTTCTCTTACAAGCATTGCCTAACTCATGGTGTCTGTTCATAGCAATACATAGAGACTAAGACGTCCTTCAAGGTGATTTTCTTTCCCCCAGAGCCAGGACTCTCCTGCTGTGCAGCCCCCAAGAGCCCTTATGTGTTTGCAATCAGCCTGAGTGGAGTGCTGTCTAGGCTGCTTTTCAGGATGGGGTTGGAGTGTCTTTCGTAGCTCTTTTCTTTAAAAACTGGTGTTCATTCATGTGAGTGTGTGTGTGTGTGTGTGTGTGTGTGTGTGTGTGTGTGTGTGTGTGGTCAGAGGACAACTTGGAAATCCCTTCTCCTTCCACCATGTGGACTCTGGATGGAACTGCGCTGTGCTAGGAGCAAGGCATGAGAACTTTTCTTCACTGTGTAAAAAGGATGAATTTCCCTTTCAGAGGTATGATTCTCTCCAAGAATTTACTGGTTGTGTTTCTGGTCAGAGTGTCTGTCCTGGATAGCTTTCACCAATTATAGAAATTGGAGTCACCTCTACAATCCAGTCTAGATGTATTTTGTTTCATTTTCTTGCCCAGTTGCTCTACCTCGGACTCCTAGTGTTATCCTAGTGTTATATTGAGTAGATGTTGTCAAAGCAGCTACCTTCCTGAGTTCAACTTCTCACTGTTAAAACTATGCTATTAACTGTGGTGTAATATGAGTCTGTGTGCATGCATGCATGTGTGCATGTGTGTGTGCGCGCGTGTGTGCGTGCTTGCGTGCGTGCGTGTGTGTGTGTGTGTGTGTGTGTGTGTGTGTGTGTGTGTGTGTGTAAGGGTATTCTTCTCATAGTTTCTTGACAGAATTCATCACAAAGTGTGTTTTTTTAAGTTTATATTTTTCAACCTAATTACTTTATTTATTCTTTGACAATTTCACATCATGCACCCCAATCCTGCTCATTTCTCAGTCCCTCCATATCTACCTCTCACCCTTGTAGTGTCCCCCACAAGAAAATTTGAAAAGAAATAAAAATGTTAATAAAAAGCAAGCAAACAAGAGCTAAAACAAAATAAAACAAAAGCCCCACTTCCCCCTGCCTTTCCTGTCTCTCTATTACCTCTTCATCTGTCTTAGTGGCATTGGGAGTAAACTCCTTTGTTCAAACCCCTTTATTTGCAAGTGTTCATTGTATAGTGAGTTGTTGGTCAGGTTCAAGCCCTCTGGCTTCTGGTACACCATCAATACTGGACCCTCACTGAAACTCCCCTCAGATATCCTGCTTTTGCTCCGAGGCTTGGAGACCCTGTGGCTATAGTACATGAAAACCAGTCCCTTCATGCACTCTGGCAGGTCATGGATGGGTTAGATGTTAGGGTGGGCCAACTCAAAGTCCTGGATGTGTGCCTGAATTGGTCTGTCTGGGCCACTGGAATCTCCTCCCTCAGGCAAGAGGTAGTGGAGCCAGCCTTCCCATGCCCCTGGTGAGGGATGGAGGCCAGCTTTTCCAAGTGCAGGGGACACCTCTCCTATGAGGGGCAGGCCAGTGCCTGGTCTTTGGGACTAGCTCTCCCAGGGCCATAAAGGGGCAGGACCAACTCTCCCATGAAG